GAGATCTACTATATGAGTGGTAGCATTGCCCTAAAATAATTCGGCAGGCCCTTTTTTGGACAGGTTCAATTTTCAGACATTGGTATTTGGTAATTGAGCTGTGCCAAACCTGGGAGCATTATTCTAGCAAAGGTCTGATATAGCAACAATATACTTTAACAATGTCCTTGATTGGAGCATTGGCTCTTTTTAGAATACATAAAGAAAATAACCATTTTGAAGCTCTTGAAACCATCTCTGAGACATGGGACTCCCAAGAAAGGTTGTCCTGAATGGTAACCCCAAAAAGCTTTATATGGGAGACTTTCTCTATGGGTTGATTAGAGAGTGTGAGTTGAGGTATTGTTTTCGGTTGACGAAGAAAATTTATTTGTAGGAAATGGCATTTGGAAAGTTTGGGCGTCATGTGGTTTGAGTTACACCACAATGTAATGTCGTCCAAATACCTTTGCATACAAGACTGGTTATTACGGGGAATGATTTCACATAATGGTTAAGTCATCGACGTATTTCCAGCGTTTGTTTTCCCCAATAACTACATCATTAATTAAAATTAAAAATAAAATAGGTCCAAGTTTGGTCCCTTGTGGGACACCGCAAGTGATGCTGGTTTTAAGGGATAATTGCCCATGAAATCTGGTATCGTGTGTACATTGATGAGAAAACTTAATATAATTGGGATGATGGCGCGTCTAACTCCAATGTCAATGAGTTTTTTTGCAATAATATTATGATCCACTTCATGTGAGTTGTTGGCACAAAACATAGATGAGTTACCAATGCCCTAATTTATGCTCATTAACAATGACACAAAGGATAATGACCCAGGGTATCTATCAGGTGTTTTACAGTGTTTTCTTATTATTTATAATGAATTTTGAGAAATGCGTAACACCCTCCTTCTAGAATAGGAATATAACTCAAGACCTTCCGATTGCCGTTGGCATACTAGTCTACAACTGAGCTGAGACCAAGTGGTATAATCATGGGATTTTCCAATTAGGAGACTTCTTTCTATTTATTTATTTTATTTTAGGCCTACTGTATTCAAATTCAACTCACAACAGAGAATAAACAATAAGCAAAGGTGGAGGAAATCAGGTGAAAATACACCTATTTCATCCACCTGAATATAAAACCAAAACATAAACAGTACAATGAAAGTATATAAAAAAATATATAAATTATACACATTATTATAATTATTAAAAACAATTTACAAAGCAAATAATAAGATACATAAAATAACAGAATTTGAATACAATTAAGATAGAATTTATATCACACTCTAGTATAAAACAATAATTTAATTTACGCAATATTTGTATGTAATTCACTAATAGAGTAACAAATTAAAACTAGGTTTAATCATAAGTGGTAAACGATTGAATATAATGTATACAAAATGTATAGCAGTCAATAAGTGATGTATCAGGCAATATATTTTGTTAAAAAAATGAAGTAAGTTTTTATTGTCAATACGTTATTCTCTATAATATAATATCGTTAATTCGGAATTGAAAAAAAAAGTCCCTTGAATTTAATTCGAATGCTTTTTTTTTTTTGAGAAAAGAATGCAGACATGATATTATGTTGAAGACGAACGTCTGTTACATAGTGTAAATACAATAACCAGAAACAAAAATAAAGAAGTAAACTTTGATGATATAAAACAAATAAAACTATAGCTGATGTGTATTTAGGGGCCCGGGTCCAGCAATTTTTTAACAAAGGGGCACCAATTTCATAAGGCCTATATGCAATGTAATTTTAAAGATAATTTATGTAGGCTATCCAATAATGGTATGATTCTTGTATATACTGTTACGAAATATTGTTAGTGCCGGGTATTTAAATGCCATCTTTTTCGGCAGTACACTGTAAAAACAGCGTGGAGGATTTTAACACAAAGTTCCATGCAATGTTGTCCCGTCTTTAGTGACACGTTTAAAAGCTAAACTCCACGCTGTTTTTACAGTGGCAAAAACCGGGAGCTGACCCCTCCCTAAATCCACCCCTGGTGTTTATGCTGTGGAATACCAGGGAAAATAATCATGCCGTATGAGCATTTTTATATTCATAAATCAAAATCATGCGAATATAGAGGACGTTGGCTTCAAAAAAAGATCATTTATACATATGACACTATCTATAAAACAAGTTATTAACAGAATTTATATACAAAATACGATGCCACCGTCCAACTGCTATACACATATGCTTTACTTACCACCAAATCGGACAACGATGAACATCTTATTCTTCTGTAAAGTGGGTAAGTAGGCCTACGGAGGAACAATAAATGCTAAAATACAGTATGTAAAGCACCGATTGTCTTATATCTCAGTGCATCTAACAACCAGCAGCCTCAATGCTTCACTCATTGATGATTGATTTCTTAACATTAATTAATCCATGAAATTCAGGTCCATAGCGATGAATAGTAGTCAACACATTGTTATTTTCATGAAATCAGATGCACAATTCCAAGACGACGAATGTATTTCCTAATCTAATGAACTGATGCAAAGTAGGCCTATCACCTGCGTAAAAAAAGTGCACGCCAACCGAAACAGAACTACAAGCAGGAGGATACACAACACCTGCAGGAAAGTACAGAATGCCTGGGAGGTTAAACTAAATAGATGCGCTGCTCGGAATTGCTATGATCACAACTATTGTAAATCTGCTCAGTTAAGCTTGCACATTCATTGTGAATAAACACTCTCATAACCGCGGGTACACAGCCAGTGGACAAACCGATTTAGTGCAAACGAAGTTGACTGATGACGTAGAAAATCGGATACAGTTAATGACAGGGCCAATCAAGCAGACAATCAGAGCATAAAAGCGCAACCTGATTTTCTGTTAGCCGTGTCGATATCCTTCATTCGATAGTAGCTGTGTATTTACGTGATAGATTGTGTATTCATGGCCGTGAATGAGCTATTCAATATGACGAAATTAAAAGTTAACGACACGATTTTGCAAATAACCATGACTAAATTTGAGTCGCATTATCGCGTACGGTAGGCTTCCATGAATGCGCAATTGTTCTTTCCAATTTCATTGCTTAGAAAGTGGAGCTGCTAATATAATATTTAATTTAGAAAGTAAACAAGTTTGCGGAATAAGTTTGTAGCTCGTCAACAGAAGACCCGTATGAATAACCACAAAAACAACTTCAAGTAGGGCCTATTCGGTACCGGACCTGTGGTTGCCTGCAAAACTAATGATTACATTGATGAAGGGAGTGAGAATATTATTTGTTTATATTAGGCCTAGGTCTGTCAAATTGCAAAATCACTCGAATGTAATAAAATAAAAACAGACAATATGAAGTGTCGAATTTAGACCATGCAAGTTGGGTAGTTGCCCAGGGTCTTCACGTGTTTTTAAAACAATAATAATAATTAAAAAAAAACAAATGTTGTAGGCCTATATCATGTCAGTCGTTAGGCCATGGCAAACCTTGCCAAGGGATGCAAGATTGTCTCAAAGAAACTTTCGTTTTTGAAATAACGACGTAGATTTCACTGATTCCAGTAACATTATCACACATAGGCCCTACTACGTTCGTCAGGTAAGCAAAAGCAACCTGGTTCGTGTCTTAGTAAAGGTTATATATAGCCTCACTGTGATTATTTATGTATTTGTTTATATATTGTATGTATTTATGTACTGTCTCTTATACACATCTAGATGTGTATAAGAGACAGATTACGTAGCTTCAAATTCACTCTATTAAGAGTAAGCCCTTTTAAAAGGGTGGTCTTAAATTTGTAATTGTACGGGCCTCTGTGGTCTAAACGGTATGAAGCTCGCCAAGACAGCGAGAGATTGCGGGTACGATTCCCACCAGAGACCTCTTTTTTCATACAAATATAATAAGGAACTTCCGTTAATGAATTATGTTTGATACGATTTATAACATCATGATCCTACGTAATAGAGCACTGTATTCTTATCTATTTAATTTATACATTATTTGTATTCCCTTTGCTAAGCAACGTCGGGCACGGTTAGTGCTTGGATGGGAGACCACCTGGGAATACCGGGTGCTGTACACTTTTTTTCATTTTTCCCCTGAAAATTGATCGGACCAATAAAAGCGTATCGTTGTAGTTCTACATTTTGCTAAATAACATTGTAACACGTCATCAACTTGAAATAGCATTCATAGAGCTCAATGATCGAAGTGGCCATACTACGCTGAAAACACAGGCTCTCGTCCAATAGAGTTAAGCAACGTCGGGCCCGGTTATTACTTGGATCCTGAAATCCTCCTGCGATTATATAACGGTTTATATACTCGAGTATGCTGCTCCTGTATGTGCAGCACACCAAACACAGCATAGGCCTATGACTTTTATAAATAAACCATTACGTAGAATTACTAAACTTTGTGTTATGGGAGGTTTTGAACGACTTGAAGAACTTAATTTAGGACTATGCATCAAAGAATGAAATGTCTTAGCATAGAGCTTACTTTTTATCTTTAAGTGTATTTATGGACAAATTGATTTTAATATACATGATTTTATTGATTTTAATCCCCGATATTCCGATTCCGTAATTTTAAAACACAAATTTGCCAGAACCAACAGTTTTAAATATTCATTGTTTATAAATTTTCCTCGTCTTTGGGAATCTCTTCCTATTAGTTTAATAGAACAATCAATATACAGTTTTAAATCATTCTCGTGGGCTCGTTCGTTATTTAATTTTAAAATATTTTATTGTATTTGTTTCTTGCTGTATTTTATGAACAAAATTTCAGTATTTCATTTTTATATCAAACTTTCGAGATAATTTTAATGTTTAGTATTACATAAGGATGCAATATGGAGAACCGCTCTGATAGTGCTTGTAGTAATTCTCAGGGTACTGTATTCTCATCGTTATGTTTTTGTTGTATTGTTACCTGGAAATTGAATAAAATTAAAAATATATATAGCTAAATGGGATATATCTGTCTCTTATACACATCTAGATGTGTATAAGAGACAGGTATATATATCCACCCACATAATTTAGCTGTGCTGCCTTAGCAACGTAAAAACAATATAAACAAATATAGATAAAGTATTGATAACAGTGCACAAAATAGGAACAATATGTTATAATCGTATCAAGAATATCAACGAAAAATTCCCCTTTTCAGTTGTATGAAAAATGTGTCTCTGGCGGGATTCGAACTTGCAATAATCATGTATGCCCATAATTTTCAAGTGAACGCATAAAATTAAAAAGTAATTCAAAAATGATGTTTTATAATTTTCTTTGGCTTCTAATAAATTAGGCTATTTTAGGTAAAATTTTCTAGTATATTTGCTTTAAGATGATCGAACCCGAGTAAAAGTGGTTTCTTAAAAATAAGTTTTTGGCTTAATACACAAGGAAGATCAAGAGATCGGGAATTCGAGACCGACGCTCGTCGTATTGCTTGTGCCCTTGGGCAAGACCCTTCAATTAAGTTTGCCTCTCTTCACACAGGAGTATAAATGGAGGGGGGAGGGGGTGTCATACTGTTAACCTGGTCGTAGGTGACCCTGCTAAGATTGTTCCAGTCAATTAATAACAGCAACTAGAATCGATTATACGCGATTATTCGCTAAAAGCAAGCTACATCAAAAACCAACTGTGTCGCTCCTGTGATTCGCACGAACAAACAAACAGTAATGAAAACATTCTTAAGACAAAAATTTAAACAATCGCCTCTGAACACCTGTTTAATAGATCATACCTTCAGCAATAACAGAAAACATGTATATGTACTAACGTAGTAGTACTTAATCGTCTGTTACATAGTGTATAACCAGAAATAACAATAAAGAAGTAAACTTTTATAATATAAAACAAATAAAACCATAGCTGATGTAGGTAGGCATTCAGGGGCGGATCCAGCAATTTTTCAACGGAGGGGCACCAATTTCATATAGGCCTATATGCAATGTAATTATAAAAGATAAATATGTATCCAATAATGGTATGATTCGTGTATATACCGTTACGAAATATTGTAACATTTAGTATCTATATCCCATTTTGTATCTTTTTATGTTAAAAAATAAGATGGCAGTGGTAATACCGGGAGAACATGACCCTCCCTAAATCCGCCCCTGGTGTTTATGTTGTGACAATACAAGGGAATACAATCATGCTATTGGATATAGTATTACTGTATAAAGGTCTGTCCAGACTACCAAATTTTCTATACCCATATATAGACATGATGTGCCTATATATGGTCATGATGTGGTGTCATCAGGACGATATTTAGGCATGTCACAGCAAAATTTGATAGTGTGGTCAGGGCTTAAGCCTACTCATTCAGTAAACTAAATCAGTCCAATGTTGAAAACACAATACGACCATTCTAAAAGCCAACCAGAATTCTGCGAAGCATAGTTATCAATAATGTAATAGTATTATGGGTGTACAATTTGGTTTAGAAGCTTCCAAAAATTTGACATCTAAGTACAATGTCTAGTTAACAAGGTCTTACAGTACTCGATAATAACCAGTATCTAAAGGTGATTAGTCTCTTTTGGGTAGTGCTGTATTAACAGCATTGTGGAATCCATACGGAACAAACAAGGCTGGTAGATTGATATAGATGATCATTATGACTGGTGTTACATGCAATAATAAAAACTGAAAGACCATTATTAAATAATTATAATAAATTATAATATATAATTATTAAAGACTAAGATCTAGTAGGTGACTTAGATCTGCACAATACAGGGCAAAATGATTATCAAATTAAATAATTTATTCCACTAAGTTTAACTTAAAGTACATTCAGATAACCTTTTATTTTATACTGTTATTAATATATATCTTCCTGTTTTATATTTCCTGGTATAAAACACATGCAAAAAACTAATCCAACATTAATGTACCATTATGAAATTCAAATTGACAAGATTTTACAATAAAAAAATATTTAAAAAAATCGCTCATGAAAATATTGATAATTTGAATGCCCTCCCCAACCCCACCCCCACCAAGTTTCAACTACCAGTTGTAATACAAATGCTAAAGACTACAAACTACAAGCTTTCAAAGCCATCACTGGATCACAGGGGTCCCAAGTTGGAAGAAGCCACTTCCGGGAGTTCTGGTTAAGTGCCGCTTCCCGGACCACATCTAACTCCATTTTTCTACACATATGCCTTTTGCCAGATTATTTCCAAGAAACAATAGATAATACAGTAGTAAAAACAAACAATACATCATGAATTTGATGGGTTAGTTTTAAGGGAAATTGTTTTTGTTTTCTTGAACGAGTGAGAGTGCCCATTTCATTTTCCGGGACACTCCCACAGCTCAGTGAACACTTGGGACCACGGGGATTGAGATCTATATCGTTTTGAACACAAATAACATTCTAATCTTGTTCAACATCATGTGAGGAAAAACAAAAGAATAAGAAATCTGCAGCATAGTTTCAAATAGTGATATTAAATTCACATCTTATCAAAGGTAACATTACAAATATATAAAACAATTTTATAGAACAATTGTAACAACAGTATTCTTTTCTTATTTTCATTATAATTTAAATCTCAAAATTGCACTATTTCTTAGAATTCTTAAGATGTCGTAGCGCTCTACGTGCTGCTGTTGCTTTAGCTATACGATAGTTACGTCCCACTCCTTTCCATTCAACTTTACCGCTTTTCCCAGTAACACTTACGATAACCCTGGTCTTTCCATCAACTGTTCTCACAGGTTTTCTAGAATGGAAAATTAGACAAATGTTCAAACAATGTTAATGTGATAACCCAACAGGTCCTCAATCTATAGCACCAGTATGTGTGGTATTTTTTGCCAAACCCGACAGTTTAATACTTCATATATTAATAGAATTTAAATAGTGCACATATCAATTTTGAGGTGGTGGTATAATTAAAACAAATCAAACAAAAGAGTCCAAACCAAGGGCCTGTATAGGCTCTGGTGAGATGCATGAGAAGAGATTTTATGGTTTCTGTTAGACCAAATATTAGGGATTGGCAATCAATTATTATGTGTAGTCCAACAGCTCTCATTGCAGTGTTGGACGACAAGCGTCAATGCTTGTCCTATGGGGGAGGGGAACAATTACACCTCCTGACCTCCAGCTGACACCACTACTGATAGGGAGTAGTCCCAGACATGTAATGCAGCACTAACAATTTCATTAATTTATACTCTTGGGTGAAGAGAGGCAAACAAACATAGTGTCTTTCCAAAGCACACTAATGTAACCAGAAACATACAATCTCTCAATTGAAAGCCTAAAACCATATTGCTGCACCTCAAGGGTTCAACAAATATAACTTCTGTGAATATCATATGATATATTAACTATTATATACCTCATACCTAGATTCTAGACATCTGATTGGTTAAGAAGCGGGCAAGAAAAAGTACTATTCCTCTGAAAAATAGTACTTTTTTCCCTGCTGCGTGATGTGCAATCTCTAGGCCCCACTTACCATCGCGCTGACGGTAAAGCGGACTGCGACCTCTACGATGAAAGAGATTGCCCCTTGACATCGCCACGGATCAGCAAGTACACGATAAACAATGGAGGCTGGTCGGTTCAAGCTCCTGGATGAAGAAGGACTAGCCTAGGCCTAGCATTACTTCTTGATGAAGCCGATTGCAAAAGCACCAAAATGCAAATTAAATGTCTTGTCAATATTCACGAAATATTGCAAGATGATGGGTGCTGTTGAAATTGAGGAAATGGGCAAGAGCTAGACAAACTCTCTGATCTCCTAGACTAGTAGTAGAAGGCCTCTAGCTAGCCTAGGGTAGAAAGTTAGTACTTTTTTAGGCCTCGTAGAATCTATGCATGAGGTATAAGAAACAAATATTGACTGCTCTAGATTCTGGGAACGGTGAAATCTAACCCCAGATGAAATCTAGCCCTCAGGAAGATATGCTACAGTCTCCACATCACCGAGGGGCAATAGCAGGCCCTAAGGAAGATAGGCTACGGTTTCCACATCACCGAGGGCAATAGATTTCACCGTTTCCCTCATGAGCAATCAATATTTGAATATTATTCACAATAAATAATACACAAAGGTCAAAAGAGTCTCACCCAAATTTGGCAGTCTCTGGCTCCATCTCAAGTAATTCACGAACTGGTGAGATTGGCAACTCACACGCGAACTTCTCTGTATTTCAAAAGGAAACCAAATGTTAGAATCTAAGATTTTGGTCTGTGAAGAGTGAGGCCAAACAAAAAACACATTGTATATCTGGGGTTAATTTGAGATAGCAAACAAGTACTTTGGCCTTCTGTTTGGTTAAAAAAATCAAATACAAAAAAATTATTATTACTATTTCAATAATTATCATCAGTATATACAATACCTATTTGTGGTCTCATCATCTTATAGTACACATCCCAGACTGCCTGCAATGACATCCCGCTGTCAAGATAAATGGCGCCAGCTACAGATTCAAAGATGTCACCAAGAGCTTTTGGTACTTCAATATCCTCCCCTTCTTCTTCTTCATCAGCCTCATCCATAGTCAACTACCAAAACAAATTAATGTTGCAAAGTGTATGCTATTAGTTGTATATTGATTTAAAAATGAAGGTATGTTGATATCAGAAGTTAAATGCTGTTAACTGTATGTTGTACAGTAGTTATATGGTATTCTACGGTTACAGTCGTATGTTGCTAGTTACAGTATGTAGCTTTTTTATTTCTGTTGTTGGTTGAATGCTGTTTAGTTGAATGTTGGTACAGTAGTTGAATATTTTAGTTGAATATTGAAGCTGTATGCTGTTACATGTTTGTTGATAGATGTTGTATGTTGTTAGTTGTATAGTTACAGTTGTATGTTGTTAGTTATATGTTATTAAACGTTGATAGTCTAGTTCTCTAATTTTTTTGTTGGTTGAATGCTGTTAGTTGAATGTTGTTTATTGAATATGGCTTTAGTTGAATGTTGTTTATTGAATATGGCTTTAGTTGAATGTTGTAGTTGTATGTTGATAAAGGTTGTATGTTGCTATTTGTATGTTGAATTGGTAGGTTTGTATTTGTATGTTAAGAGATATTGTATGTTGATAGATGTTTTATAAATGTTGCATGCTGGTATTATATGTTGTTATTTGTACATTGGTTATTGGTAGGTTGGTATTGTATTATAAGGGATGTTTTATGTTGATAGATATGTTGTATATTTATAAATTTTGTATGCTATTATTGTATGTTGTTATTTTTTGTATGTTGATTATTAGTACCTGTAGGTTGGTATTTCTATGTTGATAGTGTATGTAATAGCTGTATGTTGATAATTTGTAGGTTATTATTTCCTGTGGCAGTGATGGTCCCCTAGTGGGACATGTGGCCATGTAACCACTACAATTCGTACACTGATTATTGGCATGTTGACATTTATATGTGCAGACTTACCTGCGAATCCATTCCTTGGATTTCATCCTTCTTGTTCAGGAACTCGACAAACCTATCAACGATACTAAACAACTCTGGACTAAAAGCTTTGAAGTATTTATGGTACTCAAACTTGACAGCTAATGATGCGAAGATATTGTTGTTGACCAACGCTGAACGCATGTCTGTGAGAGCACCAGGTGACAACTGTTGGTGGTTGTTATACAGGTGACATGTGATCAAATAATCCAAGATGGCATCTCCCAAAAACTCAAGTCTACAGAAAGGAAATATCAATCACAATGTTAATTACAAAAAAAGTTTAATCATTTTAAATAATATTATTTTATATTAATTATAATTTATTTAACAATGAAAACTATTGGAATGAACTAAACACTTTAATTGTAAAGTAATTAGTTTTATTCTCAATATACTAGTTCCAGAGAGCAGATTGGTTTAACACTTTTGCAACATTATTTTAGTACAAAAAGTGTCCATGAATGAAAGATCAATATTGACTAAGGCCTCACTGCACCTGACAGTCAATGGCCGACATGATTCTATGGAGAATGCAATGCAACGACGCGTGTGTAATGGATCGTGTTTAATGACGATCCGTTGAGACTGCAACCGACAATCAGACAGTGTCGCATTGTCTAATATTCATAAGAAGTGGAGTTGGATTTGTCATATGACCATCTTTCAACGAAGTGAGTGCCTGACTTAACATGTTTTGAGATCTACTACTGTAGGTATAATTTAATTACAATTTAAAGAAACACAAACCTTTGATAGCAGTCTGTGATGACATTTTTGTGGTATGAAGCATGTGTGAAGGCTTGAAGCAAGTAAGATTTGTCTTTGAATGAGTAACTGATACCCTCTTCAAATTGATCAAATCCATTCAATAAAAAAGCTAACTTCTCCTGTGCATGTGGTACATGACTCAAGAACGGTGATGGTGGCTGTTGAATTTTCCCAAACAGGTTGTCGATAGGTGAAGGAACATCGCTTTGTGACTCCTCTGATTCAACTGTTGGCAGAACCTTCAAACCTAACCATGACATAAACAGAAGAGTATTCCTTGATCCACATGACACAAGGTAGCAGCCAATCAATGCTTCAATGCAATCTGCGATGCTTTTGTCTGACAATCCTTGTTGAGTGTGAATCTCATACGGAAGGTCTGGAGCAGGATTCTTCGGTTTTTTCAATGAATATGTCAGTTTTGGTATATCATCAGGATCTTGCAAAGAGAAAGATGACTTGATGACTGAATCAGTATTAGCAACAGGCGCACTAAATGAGGACATCCTATAATCACATGGATTGGAGTAAAAGTCATCATCATCACTCAGATCACTTAACGAATCAGCATACTCATATGTATCTGTGTTTACTTCATTTGGATCCCACTGACCAATTGGAAAGCTTGGTTCTTCTTCAGATATCAGCTTCTCTGGATCAACAGCTGCAATTTCTTCAACGTTATAACAAGGAGGAAGCCAGTTGGAAGCAGGATCAAACAATGTCATGATCATTTTAAAAGGTAATTCTTTCTCTTTCCCAAGACAATATAAATTAAAGTTACTGACTTGTTTGCTCCTCATGAAGGACAGTTTACCTTCATGACGCTTTGGATACATGCAATAGAGGTAAATAGTGACAGCCTGTTTTAGGAATGAGTCACCAAGCATCTCCAGACGTTCCAGGTTAAAACCATCATTTGCATTTGACATTGTCAGAGCCTGCAGAATTGTGGCTGGGCTTGCACCAATACAGGATGCAGGATCATTGTCAAAATCCTCCAATGATGCCTTCAGAAACAACTTTTCTTTGGTCTCACCTTCTTCAATTTCTCCCTCTTCAAAACCATTCAAAAGATTTTGTTTTTCTGGTAAGTTTAACATGACAACTTGATCCTCTAAGGGGTCAATTTCTCCCTCTTCAACTTCAACTGAATGTTTATTCTGATCTACTGATATGCTTGTCTCCTTTTCATGTTCATTCAAGCCATTTTGCTTTCCACCTAATTGTGTGGTACTTGGTCCATCCAGATTGAGACCTTCCCACCCAAATGTTAAGTTTGGAAAGGGGTAATCCAATCCAAATGTTTTAACTCCAATTCCTGCTTCAACAGATACTTGCATCCGCAGCTCTTCTGCAATTAACAAGGAATTCATTCGGTACAAGATACTTGGAAGGCAAATGCATTTGCGCCAAAGAGCTGCATCGATTGGGTAAATATAGCAGAACTCAGGCACCAGAAGTTGCTGTTTTTGAGATGCTGCCTTTTTTTCTCCAGTACTAATGGGCAGTGCTTTCCCTTTGTGATTTAGGTACCTTGGTGTTAGAAGATTCAGTCTTGATGCCATTGAGTCTACATCCAACAATGGCTGTCTGAAGTTGGTCACCTCAATGTCGTACTGCTCAAAATAGTAATCAGTAAATGTTCTGTACTTCTCTGAGGGAAAATCACTGGAGACAGTTTGGTCATCACAGATTTTAGCAACATAAAATCTCTGTGGCTGGTCAACATTACGATAAATTGGTGCCACCACAGCTCCTTCAAAATGATCTGCCACAAATTCAAATTTTTTGGAGCCAAATTCCGGTAGAATAGATGGCATATCAAGTGCACCAGATTGTCTGCTAATTTTTTCAAGGAATTTGGAGTCTATTCGTATATTTTCGTTTCCTCCACCTGGAATTTAAAGAAAACATTATGTACTTTTATATATGTAAATTGACATTCCCTGGATAATATCATAAAAAAGCATCTGAAGTGTATTTCTATTGGAGTCATTGTTAATTAAAATTTTTCCAGTACGATTACAGAAACTCAATAACAAACTTAACTTTTTGTTTACAAAATTGTACTTTTTTGTTTTCAAACATTACTGAATGAATTTGGATCACCTGATAATGATCTATAATTGATTGGTCCTTATACAAATATGTTGTTTGAATGACAAAAGGTCTTTACCGTCAGAAATTAAAGGCACAATAAGGTAAGCCGAAGGGGCTGATGTTGGCTCAAACGACAAGTTTCCCTTCTGTAGCCGCAACACCTCTGAGAACATACAGCAATGGAATCGCTCACAATGCTTTACCATCACTTCTGTGATCTGCATGTTTTCTTTAACTACACTGATGGTGACAGCAATTTGACCACTTCTGGTGTAAATTGGAAAGCCTGGAATCTGTGTAGAAAAAAAAATCAAATTAAAAACGCTGGTAATATTACTGTATCAATGATTAAGATACTTACAGGGATTATCAATTGGAAGTAGTACGGTAGACAGTGCGAATAAGCTCTTATGAGTCTTATTCGCACGTGAATAAGCTCTTATGAGTCTTATTCGCACGGTAGAGCTAGCCAATCAGCATTTGACGTTTCATGACGTCTAACCGCGCCAATAAAAGCTTTCTTCTTTGTTTGGCTTCTGGCAGTGTTCACAATCACAAAAGCAGCCATGAAATCTTGATGTCAATGAAGATCGGTCAGGCATTTAGTGACTATGTACAATTCATTTGTTGATTTCATTAAAGAAATTTCAGGACGAAAATTACCTTGTTGTAGAGTATTGACTGTATATACAACAATCTTTCGACAATTATCACAGCTCCCATCGTCTCTGAGCGCTATGTAGTTTGTGTATATAATTAGGCCTACAATCAATGTACCCAGTAGCATTTCGAAAACACTCCCACACATTGGAAAAGGTCCAAAAGGCAGTGAAAGAATGTACATCAATATAAATCTTATTTTTCAGTACAGTATATAGTACATATATTTGGTGGCGGATCCAGGATTTATTATGGTAGAGAGGGATTAGGAGAGACTTTTAGAGATGTGCGAGTCTACAGGTGGGCTAAGTGCAGCACGACTGCAGCCCACAAAACTAAAACCCTATTAAAACTGCACATAAAATCGAGTAATTTTGCATTAGTTTGGCATCCTCTCATCAGGGAGATGTAACACCTCCCTGCTCTCATTCTCCTCTGTTCCAATTCCCATCATGGTTGGTGCTAAGTAATTAATTTTCTTTTGTTTCCCCATTTAATATTTTTGAATGGAACAAAAATCAATATTACTACTAGACCCTATGATAGGGGACTATAATACCACCAGTACATACTCCACAAAGGCTTTTTTCATGACAATTTTTTTCAAGGATAGCTTAAGAAAAGAGTAAAAGGTCTGCAGACACAATGCTAAGCTAGGACCTATTGTACTTCAGTTAGGGTTATCGAATCGACTGTCTGTGCTGTGCCCAACTCATATGGTATGCCGTGAAATAAATTATCATACAGTATTTCTATCTACAACATTCTACCGTGCGAATAATTTTTTTTCGACAATTCGCACGGTACCGTGCGAATTAGCTCTTATAAGTCTTATTCGCACGGTAGACCTAGCCAATCACCATTTAAGGTTTCATGATGTAACGGCTGTCATACCGTGCGAATAAGTTCTTACTCCTAATTCGGTACCGTGCGAATAACCTCTTCCTAATCAATTTGATCAAACATCATTGACCAATATGCTAAGAAAATAGAACCATACTGGCGAGGTTAAAAATAGTGACTACGCTGGAGTAGTGATCATATGGGAGTGATCACATCATGGGAGTAGTGGCCATATCCAGCGTCACACGTGCAAGGAGGACCTTGCACGTGTGACGCCGGATATGAGCCACCACCCGAGGAAGAAGAGAGAGGGGTGGAAAGGCGTAGGCCCACATACCGTCCCATGGAATTGACAGGGCATTCGTGGCCCAGGCTGTGGGCTCCGGGTAACGAGAGCAAAACACTGGGAACTGCGCTGTCAAACTTGTCGCAAAGAGATCGATGTGTGGTCTGCCGTAAATGTTGAAACTATGCTGAACTACCGTCGGATGAAGCCTCCACTCCGTGGGCAGAATCGACTGCTGACGGGACAATGCATCGGCGAAAATGTTTAACCTTCCGGGTATATGAATGGCCGATAGCATGATGTTGTGATGGCGACACAACATGAGAAGCTGCTATGTGTAACAACAAAGGGTTGGGGAATGTGTTCCCCCTGATGGTTGATGTATGACACCACCATGGTATTGTCGAACAAGGACTACTTCTCCTTGCACTCGATGCAGTAATGCCTGTAGTACCCGAAACACTGCTAATAACTCGAGGACATTGATATGATAGTTTGCCTCTTCGCTGGACCAGAGTCCTGAAACTTAGTCTGTGGAGCAATAACCGCCCCACCCCGACTCGGATGCGTCTGTGACGATACGAATGCGTAGAAGGGGTTCAGGAAACGGTTTCCCCACCCTGAGGACATCCTCCTGAAGCCACCACCGCAGATGGGATGCTACAAATGTTGTCATCGGTACGGTGATTCCCAGATCCCGAGAGGACGAGGTGAAATGGGACAGCAGATGGAGTTGCAACGGACGCATGCGAAGACGGCAGGCAGATACGAGATCCACAAAACTGGCCAGATACCCCAGAACCCTGAGCCAAAGTAGAGCTGGAGATGAAGGATGTGCCAGTAGGCATGAAACGGCTACGAGACACTTGCGTATCCTGGTTTCCAATGGCGACGTGACTGATCACCGCAGGTCGATGAGAGCCCCTAGGTACATGGCAAATTGCGAAGGCACCAAGTTTGATATTCCCTGTTGATCACGAAACCCAGAGACTCTGTAAGATGTATCGAGGTAACGTCGAGGTGATATAGCAACACCTGTCGTGATGCGGCAAGGATTATCCAGTCGTCCAGGTACATGAAAATCCGAATCCCCCTGGCATGGAAAATGGTCGCTAGGGATTTGACTACTCGGGTGAAGACCCGTGGAGCTGTGGACAGGCCAAAATGAAGCACCCGAAAATGGGAAGTGAGGCCTGCCAACTGGAAAGTAGACATTTGCGGTCGTCCGGGTGAATAGGAATGTGGAAATAAGCATCCTTTAGGTCTACGGTCACTGCCCAATCGCCAGGCTGAAGACCCTGGAAAACCACAGGCAAAGAATCCATGCGAAACCGTAGGGGCCTTGGACGAACTGTTGAGGCTGTGAAGGTTTAAAATTGGACGCCAACCCCCGGACGATTTCTCTATGAGTAAAAGGGTAGACGTTAACCCGTCGACTGGAGGCGAGGCAGTGACTAACGCCACCGGGTAGAACCCACCGAGAGAGCTATCGTCGCAAACTGGTCCGCGACCAAACCAATGCACGCGCGCATCAGCGAAATAGCATCCGGTACGATAACTGGCGGGGCCTCAGGACTAGAGAGGAAGGAGAGCAAATAACCAGAGGCATTGACAGCACGCATGCCTTCACGAGCTGAAGGGCATCTTCCGCAGCAACTAAACTTTTGTCCGAAAAAAACAACCAGGACCCGGCAGAGAGCCCTTGATCCTCACGGAGCTTGGTCCTTGCCACCCTAGGAATTTAGGGGGGGGGGGGCCATGATGAGGGAGCAGCCATGATGAGGGAGCGGAACTGGGCTTCAGGCACAGGAAATGCCGCAAAGAGACGGCGCGGAGCCGCCCACATGGCGAACTATCTTGAGCCCGGGCATCCAAGCGGGCAATAATGTCCGCGTGAAAGGGGACCACAGGCATCGGGGAAGACGCACGAAGAGGGGTAACAGGTGCCAACACTGAAGCCCCTTCCCCAAAAGGGGCAGAGGGAACTGTGTAATCCACCCCCAGGTGGTCAAAAATGGCAGGCATGACCCTGCAAACCAAAGATTGCAGACCCCCACCAGGCATACCAAGCTCAGACGAAACATCGCCATCTGAAAAATCCATGCCAGCAGCACAAGGGGAAAATTCCCCAGGAACCCTAACCTCTGACCCCGCGGCGGGCATTGTTCCAATCCAGGGGACACCCAGGGCCCCGGTGGGGTCCAGGGGGGCAAAGTTCCCAGAAGTTCTGGCATCTATAGTTTTTTTTAAGTCGTATCTAATTAATCTTAATGAATGTAATTAAAATTTTTTTCCACACTACATTTTCAAAATCAAGAGGTTTTTCCTTATCTCCTCTTTTTGAATTTCAGTTTTGTGCGAGTAGTATTGTAACTACACTAATTGTGAGTGGAAATACTACCGTTAAACTTAAGATCAAACAGGACTATTAGGAGATAGGAAGCACACACAACATTAGCATTTTTATTTCATAAACATGCAGTGTGATTTACCTAATTTATCATTATCATGACATGGGCGGATCCAGAAATTATTGACTTTTCTCGACGGGAGATCTGCTCCTCCTCCTAAGCTTAGACACCCCTCCACTCAGGGTCGTCGCAAATGACTAATACTGGAAGTCGCAAAGCAAATTATGACTCATTCAGACTTATTCAGATTTTATCTCCATTTAAAAAAAAATTTTGACAAATGTAGGGGGTCCTGGTCGGATTGGCACCCCATCCCCACTTGATTATGATATATGTCCTACAGACAACGTCAGAGACATATTCCGCTGTTATGTATAAACTATGCCCTTTTAGATCAGGGTGTTATAGAGCGAGGATCCTATGTGCAGGGTCACTGCAGGGACCCCTCTAGAGGTCGATGGCCCTGCGGACCGCCGCACGAGAGCGCATACGTGTTACGCCACTGAGCATAGACTATAGCTGTTCTAGCAGGGCACAGGTAATGCTGGTAAAAAACTCGGCCTTAGGTCTCCGTCTTTTGGCCTTTTTTACATCCTGGTTTGTGAAATCGTTGGAAAAAAATCGGCGTTGGGGATACAGCGTCGTCAATCAATAGAAAATTCAAAATTTATGAGTGGTAAAATAATCGAGTTCTCCTTTCACCCACTGATGTGACCGCCACTAAGCTCATGGGTACGCTTCTTTTCTTTTCCTCTTTCTTCCCTTTAACTCTTCTAATTTTTATTTTTTGCCGGGATTGATGGGAGGGGGAACGGGGCCCCTGTGGCCCCTCGCTGGATCCGCCCCATAGTATGATGCGAGATTGGGTTAAGTAACATCTGAGTTCGTCAACTTGTGGTATCACTACTTAAATAAGTGGAAGACAGACCTATCCGTGGGTATACATATAAGGCTGTATAATTATTGTTTATATAATAATAATTCTAGATTTATATAGCGCCTCACGTTGACAACCTCGAGGCGCTTGAACATTATTACCCCCGGATCACTCGATCAAGCACATATGGAACACACACTCAAGCCCCATGGGGAAATTCCATAATGTTGCAGCTGTATTCAGCGCAGGCTGTGTTTGAATCTACCAGGTACCCACTTGTACTCCTGGGTGGAGAGAGACAACTGTAGATAAAGTGCCTTGCCCAAGGACACAAGCGACTTGCACAGCGAGAGTTTCGAACCCCCAAGCTCAAGGTTGGGAGTCCAAGCCACAACGAATGTGCCAACCGATGCGCCAACCAGAGCAGCGATTGGAGTTTTAATTAATAAATGTTCTGATGATTTGATTTGAACCAGGGACCAAGGATCTCCACAGTTCGGTACTCAGAGTGGCTATCACCAGTTTAGCTGACTGAGCTAAGCTGCTCTCTCGTTTGTATAAACAGGTACCTGGTAAGATGTGAATTACTTGGAATAGGTTAATATGCTGAATTAAGACAGTATTAGTTAAATGAGTCGTCATGCGACTGCGTCAGGTACAGATTATTAAGCATAAATAGTATTCTCACGACACCCTTAAGCCACATTTACACTAGACACGATTACGACACGACATATCATCGCATAGTTTGTATTCTTCAACACTGTGCGTATATGTATTGTGTCGTTGTCGTGTCGTAATCGTGTCTAGTGTAAAAGAGACTTAAGATTGTCACAGATAATAAATCTGACTGCGTCGTATGACACTGAGTTGGCCTTTACATGCACAAACCATGAATACGCCATCGGCAGTGGAGGAGGTTGCATGTTGTGTATTCTTTGAACAGGTCAAAAAGCAGTTTTTTTTTAAATGGATATGTGTGCTATGAAAACCTAAAAAATACATATAAGAGTTATATAATATATAACTCTTATATGTACTGTAATTACTGATTTATACTCTTTTAATATTCAAGTCTTTACCCTAGGAATTGGTTTGCTTGTCAGGATTCCAAAGCCTTGAGATGAATCTTCTGGCCTGTGCAACTTGCGACCTCTTGTGTTCAACACATTGGGTAACAACTCTTTGGTTTCCATAATAATTGCATATAAATAGCAGGGCTTTTTTGCATCTGGATGACAAGCTTCAAGACATCTTGCCACCTAAAATAAATTACAAATAATGTATTACATATTGTTAAAAATTATTAGGTATAGAAATAAAGATTTAAATAAATAAATCTAAGTATAAAAATTTTATGTGATGAAAAGAAATATAGTAATAATATAGAGGATAAAAATGGCATCATGTATACAGTAGCAACAATATCGCTAAACACACAACTAACACTTTATCCCAGGAGAGAAAAAAAATATCATAACAATTTTGGAGTATATTAGGATGTTCATTCAAGAAAATTCTGCTGTTGCACTAGGCAAAAAATTTCCTCACATCACTCCGCAACCCACGATGATTGAGTTTTCTGACCTGTTTATTGTAATACTGTCTTCGTTTGGTTGTACCTGGCCTAGCCTGGCCTTCAACATACTCCTCTTCAAAGGATTTATATCCAAAATTCTCAGACTCTAGGAATGCATTTTTCTCGATTGGTAACAATCGATCACTCAGCTCTCCTGTGATACAAATAAAACAAAATAACATTATTAATTGTAGAAAGACCAAAATGATTAAGAATTGAAATACTGTAGTGTTTTCTTTATTACATATGACTGTTTTATATTAGTGTAATTCATTATACAATCTATCAGTTTGATTATTTGTGCAGAAGCATCTTGAATAACGGTAGTTTAAATAATTGTGAAATCTAACTATTTTAACACAATGTATAAATATTGCACATGACAGCACAGTGGAAAGTTACAAAATGTGCTTCGTAACCAAACTAAAAATTTGCATGTGGTATAAAAATTGTAACAAAATTCAGTTACTTGTCATATGTTGTTAAAATGTTGTTAGACGATTGATAGATATGAAATAATGAAGTTAAAACATCAAGTTTGTTGACCTAACAATAAAATCTGTCATTTTCTCCAAAATTAACTTGTGACTTAGTCAGAATTTAGTGGGAATTATGTCCTCCACATCAGGGGTTTAGCCAGAAAAAGGAAATAGGTCGTCCAAAATGGAAGACAAAGAACTTGTCGCGTAACAACAGCAGAGGACGTAGGTCAGGGGAGTGGCTTTGGGAGGGGCGTCCCCCTTCCTACCTAAGAAAAAAATAGAAAAAGATGACCTTTAGAGAGGTGTTTAAAATGTTGAAATTTTGTTTTCAAAGGAATAGTGTTGAATTAGCTATCACAAAGATATTTCAGGTTTAGACATAGACTCAGCACAGCTACAGTTGTTTACTCACGTTATTTTTCTAGGCTATGCAGATGCACTTTCATCTCTCGCCCTAGTCTACTGTAATTTGTACTCTAGGTCCTCTGAATCGAGAGATTAAGTATTTTATGAATTATTTATAACCAGGGAGTTATGAACAAGTATGATGTCTCAGGGAACCGAATCTCAAGTACTGTATTTGCAGAGCCATATGAATGCGTTTTGGACTGTCCATATACCAGTGGGGTATAAATATGTTTTTAACATGACACATACAGGTGTTGTAAGTGAAATTTTCACCGGGTAGACAATGGTTTAGCCTTCTCTTTATGGGAACCCCACCAAACGTTGGTATGAAAACAACATAAATTCAATCAATAAAGGTTGTTCTATTAAACGTAAATATGATAAGCTTTTGACGAAAAGGAGATGATTTTCAATGAAGATAACCCAGTAACCCGTAGTATTGAGAACGTATTGGTTTAGAAATATTTTGCACCTTGTTTATGCAGCATCTCAATTGTCTTCAGGGCAACAGCCATCTCTGCATACTTCTTACGAGGCATTTCAACACCCTAAAAAAATTACAAGCAATTCAATAAACAAAATTATTGAAATTTAATAACATTACAACACACACAAATCTTTAAACGATTATGTAATGTGGCATTTATATTCAACATACAAGTAGATATTTAAGGTCGGATCCAGGCTTATTGAAATGAGGGGAGTATCAGTTTTTCATAATAGTGCAAAGTGAGGGGTATTAGCGTGGGAATGCTATTATTGATGCCCGGAAATATGTGTTCAGTTTATGCTGTGTTACGAAATATTGTAACATTTTGTATTTGTAATCCATTTTGTATTTTGACAAAATGGCAGTGCAAAAATTGGAGGAGGTGTACACACCATTCCCTCTCAATAAATCGTGTATTTAATATATATTCGTGGTACCATCATGCTACGTGTGGCCTATGGATAGCACTTTGTCCACCTGTGGTGTAGACATAGCTTAACACTGCTACACTACTACTTCTCAACAGAATGATATATTAGTTGTACTTACAACAATGGGATCTCTATTTGGGGCATTGATTGGCAAGCACAAGGTGGCTTGATAGACAGGTGGATTGCCTTGATTCACCTGCACCACTTTACATTGGGGTGTCAGGTGTGTGAAGCTATCTCCTGGTAACTTTGCACAATATCTGTAAGATTCATATCAATAACAATAATACAGGTATAGCAGTAGTATACTAGTAATAGGTAGTTACTGTATAATAATATAAAATAATAATATAGTAATAATAAGAAAAAGAATGATGATAATGGTAATCTGTGTCTAGGTGCAGCTTTACTCCAGAAGTTTGTTGGAGTAACTTCAACTCCATTAGTTATCAATCAATTACTTCACTTGCAAATCATATGTATTAAACAAGTGGCGTGGACAAAAAAACGCAGAGCTTGTAAACATGGCATGCAGTCATACTAATAATAATTAACAATATAGCAAAACTGACTATATAATTAAATAATGAGCAGTATCACCTGAAAATATATATAGTTTAAGATTTGTTTTAAATGTTTTAATTTTGTGCAGTGCTTAAGATACGCAGTGATAATGTGGGGCCAGCAACAACAGTAGTAATGTAGGACCAGCAACGAAATTACAGTAGTGTGTAAACAAGAGGTTGAGCATCAAAGTCAATGGTAAGAAGACTGTCTAGTTGAGTAGTTGCGGATATGGAAGTTCGCAACTGATGGTGTAACTGAGGAAGAATGATCTAAAAACATAAAAGCAACCAACACTAAAATAAAACAAATCATAAATATTAAGTTTTTTTCATTTTATTCTATTTTTGATCTTGTTTTTGTATACCTTAATCTATGTTGGTCCCTCTTTTCTTACAAATAAAAACTGGGTTACTTGAGGGTTCCTTTTCATCTTTTTCTATTCTTTACCATACTTTCTTATGCCATTTTTTAATTTGATGAATACAAGATTTTTGCATTTTATTAAGAAGTTGTAACTAGGAAAATAAATCAAAACTTGTTTGTCTATAATATAAATGACCTTGAAATATTAGAATAACCTACTGTATATATTCTATTCATACTCAGTGCTCATCCCAATGCTTTTTGAATCAACGTTAGATAATATAACTTTGTCATGAAGCAAAACCTGTGTGTGTGTGTGTGTTTGTGTTACGTCTTTATGAGATAGAATTACCTGTTAACTAATGAAATTGCAGAAGTCATTGAAACACGTGGAGCGCCTTCCTCTTTGCGTGGCATATATGGTGGAAGCAGATTGTCTGCGATATGCATGTCCATCTTCTCTTCCGTGTGGGGTTCCCTATTGTGGCAACGCTTTTGCAGTATCTGTATAAAGAGAACATAGATATAAAATGTATAAATATCAAGAACTGTGTTCCTTGTGTCTCTTCCTTTCATTTTATTTTTTATTTTATTTTTTTATTTCAACTTTATTTCACAAGGGTAGCTCTAACAGCTGCACTACAGTAGTACAGCTGACTTGAAGAGGCCCTCGAAAGAAAAACAATACATAAAAATATATACAATACATTAAGAATCCAAGTAAGTAAAAGCTTCATTAC